GAATCTTTGGTTTCCGGAACCATGTCTCTATTAGAGAAGGGGATGATTAAAAATTTATTTTTCTTTGATTTTAGCGGAATAAAGCCACTCAGACAGAACGTTTAAAAAAGTATTTAGTTTTATGAATGGTTTCTTTTAAATTGCGAGCCTTTTCTCTCATTTTCATGTAAAAATTAGTAAGTATAGAATTGAATGTTTGTTGAATGCTTCAAATAATGGGAAAGATTGCGTTGGTCTTTGATCTGACCTCTTTTCAAAGTGTAGAATTATATTGGCTGCGTGAAAAAGGGAAATTTTGAAAAAAAAAAAAAAGGTTCTGAGGATGATTTTATTGCTTCAAACAAAGTGAATAATGAAAGATTCATCAAATATTTAGGACACATTATGCAAGTTGAAGGTAGAGAAAATAACTGTATTGTCCTTTTCTGACAGTTTTATGATTTAGATGACTCTCTCTCACCACTTTCATGTACACAAAACGTGAAACTATTGTATAGGATATCTTTGAGATCAGGTTCTTTAATATATCAGTTGTCGAACCGAATTTTTATATTGATTCCCGTCAGAGGTAGAGGAAATATGTTGTCAGAATCAATGTGTGCATTTTATTCATGTTGCATCCACTATAAAATAACGCTTTAGAATTATCTCTTTGAGTGAAAGCTTAATGGTACTACTGATTTTTCAATTAGATTGATTTGGGTAGGGTTTGATCGGGAAATTGTATACTAACTTTGTGATATAACATTAATGGATATTACAATCACTTATTTTGTTTATTTTTTCAACCTAAGTTTTAGCCTTGATTTTTTAAGAATTTCCAGGATATTCATTACATATTTATTGTTTTGTGTTTAAGGACTATTTCCAAGAGTGAATCGATGATATCATGAGCTTAATCTTATCATGGCTCTCAGAGATACGTATTCAAACACTGATTACTCTTGCCGTCGGTTTCCACTAGTGATGAACAAGAGCAACAAAGACAAATTGTCCATTGAAACAAATTATTTTCCTTTTCTACGTTACAACTTGTCGAGTAAGCGTTGACTCTCTAAATATTTCATTAGCATGCATAGAAGCGTATTTTTTGGCGTTCGAGTGCACTGTACTCCGAGATGAGTTTGTAGCCGCCATATTGAAATTGTTCAGATCGAGAAAAGCCTGGAGCGAGTGAAAAAAGTGTACCAAGTAGGTAGTAGTGAGAATTTCAAACCAGTGAGGTGAGAGTGGTCGAGCAGAAATCATGACTAGGTAATATTTCTTCCCAACCTTCTCCCCCTCATTGTTTTCTTCGCTTCAGATTTCACTTATGTTGCCAATCCAATATGGAGGCACATAGACTCAATTTTACTTAACCTGCTTACAACTTCGCTCGCCAGAAAATTCGGTTGCCATGCTGACTAACATTTTTAGTCGGAAGTTGTAGTTGGTTTGAAATGAGTTTAAGCTGAATTATTTTCAGGAGAGTGGGGAGAGTGGAGAACTCGTTCACCCACGTGCGGAATTGGTCAGAGATCACGTGAAAGGTGTCAAAAGAAAACGACAAAAAAGTGTCCACCGCATAAAAAGACAACACAGACTAAACAATGCGGCTCAGTTTCGTGTGCCTTGACCTCTGTCAGTGTGCAAGGTAATTAATCAGTCGGTATTTGAAATAGCGTAAAATCAAATGAATTATGTATAAGGTAGTAATACTGTTCAGTCACTTTTAAGTATGATTTAAGATTAAGATTTATTTCGTCGCCGTGTAAAAGACGTCTACTGTTATAACATTGTAAACAACCACTTCATAATCTTCATCAGTAGTGTTAATCTCGTCTCCGGACAAATTTTCACTCTTTTAAAAAGCTTTTCCTAGTGCATTTTACTTAACTGTTAAACTAAGGTGGATCTGCCTTGTAATACGTCGAAAAACATTTCTTGAGGAATTTTTTTTCAGTGATTGCTTCAACTTTAAATTTTCTTTTTAACATGTCAGTTAATCTTTTATGTTTTAGTGTGGTCTTCACGCGAGAATAAGAGACCACTTTCCCTTGGAACAACTTCATCGAAAGTTTTCATGACGTCACGCTATGATTTGATGACGCCAGATAGAGCAATGACCTCCAGACACCTTGCTATCACGTCCTCAGGGGTTATGATGACGTCAGCCTCTGTGCCTGGAGTTACCATGTTGTCAACCCAAATTAATAAGGTTTTGTCTTCCCCTTTTCTGATGCTTCCAAGAACCAGTGTTGCAAGTAAATTTCAGACTTTTAGAATGATTTTTGTAGATGCCTTAATTGAACTTAAAAGGTTTCGTCGAAACCATTTCTGCGTTGTAAAATACATGAGCGAGTAAAGTTTTATCATCATTATTGTTATTGTTATTGTTATTTTTATTAAGAAATATTTCTATTGTTATTATATGATTACAATATGATGCATTCTTCTGATCGACTAAGAAGTCAAAACGGGGAGACTGGAATGCTGGGATCTAATGTTATTAATAATGGTAATAGGACCGAGTGGAGTCCAACTCTGTCTGTAATCATACGAGTGATTGACAAAATTGGACGACCGGGAAGCGGGAGTCCGATTTGTTAATCACGAGTATGATTACAGACAGAATTGGACACGAAGTCCTGTTACCAATTAATCAAAACTATGACAAAATTTGAGAAAGAAACTAGACATCGGTTCTACGTTTTCATTAAAAAAACAACTGTTAACTCGGGGAAATGCGAGACAACAGTGCGCGCATATGACGCGTTCTGTCCTCTTTAACTGTCCTATTACACTGTCCAATTACAAGCATGGCGCATACAATGTCCAATTAGTTCTCAAATCTGGCTGGTGATACACAATCACGTTCGAGAATTTTGTTATAGTTTTGATTACATTAAAAACAAAACAATGAAAGGATAAACTCAAATTGTTTATCGTTCACTTATGCATTTCAATTTCTTATTACCAGAAGCTACTCCCGGGAATGAAGTTCTAAGTAAAACCGAACCCTCACCAACCTCCTCATTGCATTTACCTGAAATTTCTACATCAATGGCTGTGATGTTATCATCATCTAGTATGACGTCACCGTTATTGGTGTCATCCTCAACTATACTTGAATCACCTGCATTAGTAATAGCGTCAAGTCCTGTATCAAAGACTGCAGACCGTAAGTCTCCAAAGAAGACTAACCAAGGCCCAATGGAATCTCCATCTAGTCTTCACGCCTACTTCAAAACTGTAAGGAAAGACTGGATCTTACTCAATCATCAGATTAAGAGACTGTGGACGTCAAGCGAGATCTCGTGCGCCATGGTGTGCATGAGACATCAGAACTGTCAATCATTCAATTTTAAGTGCTCGGAAAAGTATTCTGACCAGCTAAAGGATGTGGATACTAAACAGGGTCATAACTGCCAGCTAAACTCAGCAAAACACTCCACCAGTCCGGGAGACTTCGTTTCAAAGAAAGGATATTGTTACTTCTACCTATGAAAGTGATGAGGATGCCTGTGCGCTGCTGTTGCCATCCCGCGTCATGATGTCATGATGCTGTTACGCAAAACATACCCGTTATGTTAAACTTTAATGCTCCATAAATTGACATACTAGCACGTGTTCCAATTCGACTTATTGTGTGGACACTTCATCTTGTTATTCCCCTTTATTTTTGATGATTTACCTCTATTGTGTTCCCCCGCAAGAGAATAAAGCGTCAGCAAAAGTTTAAAAGTCTTTTTTATTATTATTACTTAGAATGATCAAAAGTAGTATAAGATAAAAATTAGGTATTAAAAAATGGCTTTTAGAAAGTAGTGTGGATTGTTTGCTGGAATTTCTGGTGTCGTACAAGAAATCGTCTATGTTTGTAATTTAACGTAGAGCTTTATTTGTGCGGAAGCTCTCGCAAATGGGCTACAGAAAATAATAATAATAAAAGATTTTGCGCACTTGTGTTAAATGTTTGGCTCTCGTTAAATGGAGCATTCTTTATAGAACAATTTTCCCTTCTGACATAGATATAAAAGAGGAGGTGATTGGCAGCCTGCAGAGCATGTGTAATTTCGGCATTTAACTAGTATTTTTAAAATTTCCGATTACAGTAAGTAAAATTGGAATAAGGCTCATAGCGTACATGATATTAAGAACGAAGTTTTTCAGAAGTACTTCAGATAGCTCTAGGAAAGTAATTTTGAAAGTACCCTGTGACGTTATCGCCCATCACCTTGACAATGCGCGCTTGTAGATGCATTTTTAAGTTCGAACATTCCGTTTTCTGTTCCATAGTTTGTTCTTTACGCGTGCGTAGCGAAAGGAAGGAATGTTCTATGACAAGTTGAACTGATGCGTAACTCAGTGGGAGAAATTGAACGTGATAAAATTACTCCAAAACCTGCCACTCGGCGAAAGAAGATCACGTTGGTCAGACCCGTGTAGTAAATTTTTATTAAAGATTATTTTCTTGCGCATTGTTGTATTTTTTTACTTCCCAATAAACCTGACGGACCCGTTTAAGATGGCTCATAATGGTTGTAAAAATCTGTAGATATGGTTCAGAGCCACTTTAAGTGACCAGAAAGATTAGATAGCTCTGAACTGTTTATGAAAATTTTTCTAAATCTGGCAGATCTGCCAATTGCAGTTTATTGGTAAAAATGGAGGTCATCGACTTTGTTTTTGAGTTTCAGGCACAAAAAGCAATCAAGAAAGGAATCGTCAAAGAGGCCGAAGTCAGGGTTTCTATGGTGACCTTAATTGAAAGAAAAATATTACAATTTTCTGAGAAATAATTGGGCAATTATATCCTGAGTAAGTCTTCATGTATTAAAAGATGTAAGAAAAATAATGGAAATTCTTCGCTTCATGACAGGAGCCCCTTCCTCGCAGGTCCGAAAAACCTTACGTGTTTCCGCGCAGTATTCCTGCATTTTCGCGTTTTGTTGTTCGCTAAACGTGCGCGTTCCTTCGCCAGGGAGGAGAGCTGGGACAAAGACTGCTTCACTCCAACATGGCGGGACATGGCGGTAGATTTTGTGAGAACTGCAAGGAAATGACAGCTTGCTTTGGCACAAGGCCCGGAACTAAAGAGCCCCTCGGCTTCTCAGCAAATTTCCTTTGCTTAGTGATATTAAGATATAGGATGGAAGGAAGACAATTCGTAAAACAGAGAGATTTCTCTAGTGCATGCCAGATGTCAACTTGGTAGAAAGCGGTAGGTAAAGAAATCTTAAACGAACAACAATTTTTTGAAATTTATAATATCTGTGTTACATTTAAATATCATTGGCTTAGTAGGCATAAAATGGGTGAATAATTCTGATATTTTGTGAATGAGTATTGCTGCAAATTTGAATATTTAAATCTGGATACCTTTGGACACGTGGTGTTGTTGTTATTATAGGAGCTCTCTCAGGCGTAAAAGTCAGTGTAGTATTTTTTTGCATGGGGCAGAAACTCGTTCGGTAGATCCTTCAGTGGATCCTTCAGGTTTTTGTCGTGCAATGTCTCCTCCCTTGGTAATCCCTTTTATCTCTTCAATTTTTATACCTTCTAATGTCCTGGTACAAGATCAAATCAGCACATCTTACAAACAAGTAAAATATTGGTTTACATCCAACTTCACACTTCTGTCTTAACTTACTGAAAAAGTGGTAGCTTTACAATTGATTGAACATAAATATAATAACTTGTAATAATAACTTTGGTGAGATTTTCCATCAGGAGTATAATTATGCAATTTTAGATATTGATAGGTATAAGACAGTTATTGTAAACGCTGGCAGACAAGCTGCACTCAAAGATGAGGGCACCCAAAGTTTGGGCAATTCAAATTTAGGAAAAGAAGCTTTTGAAAGAAATCAAAAGAAATTACAAGTGCAGTCTTGAGAAATTTGCTGTATATTGGTTGCTTTATCAAAATTACACCCACATAACCTCACTAAAACTGAAAATGGATACTTTTAATCCTTAGCTGTAATTTTAGCTGTAATAGTATGGACATCTTATCCACTGATTCGACTTAAATTTGGTCTTACTCTGGTATTGTTCAAAGACTTACTTGTCATTTAAACAATTTTTACTTGCTACTCATTGCTTTGCTTCAGTGCATTAGAAAAAACTGCACTGTGTGCCTTGCTACTAAATAGTTTAATGCTCTGCACACTAGTCTAATTTTTAAGCACTTACACTGGCTCCTTGTAGAGCAGCAAATTTAATTATCAAAGTTTCTTTCTTACCCACAAGGGATTGAAGTATCTTGCACTTGCTCATATTAGTCATCTATTGGTCCCTCCCATGCCTTCTAGAAGTATCTTCTAAAATTTCAGAAGACAAACTTGAAAACCAAGGGTAACAGGGTGTTCTCAGTTGCTGCAACTAGACTATGGAATAATTTACCTCAAGATATTTTCAATAGTCCATCAGTCAGTGCATTCAAATCATTTTTACAAAGTTGTGTGTGGAAATACTCATCTCTTGTTTTAGCACCACATTTATGGGTGGAAAGTGTTACATTATCAGTTATTTTATAAAAAGGGATACAGATACAAGTACATGAAATTGATTACATGATTGGTGATTAATTATATGATTAATTAGTCATATGTTAAATTATTATGATTATGATTGGCTGATTTTCTGTTAAACCCATTTTTTGTGAGTTGTCTTAGCTGTAGTGGCTTTGCATTCCATACAATCATTTGGTGCAGAGGATGTTTATTGCTGAGAGGATAGTATTATAGGAATGAGAGTGGTAGATGTGTGTTAAAAAGTTTTGAATACCATTACTAGTGTTGATTTTCTGGCTGACTGACTGACTGGCTGACTGTTTGACTGACTGACTGACTGACTGACTAACTGATAAGTGACTGACTAACTAGCAGAGTGGCTAGCTAGCTGATTGACTGAATGACTTGCTGACTGACTGACTTACAAATTGTCTATCTGACTGACTGAGTGATTGACTGGCTGACTGACTGACTGGCTGACTGACAGACTGACTGACTGACTGACTGACTGATCACCTGACTGACTGACTGACTGGCTGACAGACTGGCTGGCTGATTGACTGCTGGCTGGCTGACAGCCTAATTGACTGACTTACAAATTGTGTGCCTGCCTGACTGACTGAAAAAAAAGAGAATTTTATGTTATACAGTTGAGACAACGCTTTACCATTGAAGACTTACAGCAGGTTATTTAATCAACGTTTAGCCGTTCTTTAACAAAACCGCGTTTTAAACTATCTTGACGGGCGACATAACTCAGGTCCTGGGCGAGAGTGCCTCGGACGAGATGACTTTCGGGCGACTTGACCGTAAAACCTTGAATTTAGCTCAATCTTTTATCTGAAAATTTATTTTTGTAATTCCTCAATATACGACAATTACGAGAGTGATATGAAAAAGAAATAAATAAGCAATAGAAACGAATAAACACAAAAGACACGATACTATTTAAACTACCGGTAAATTATGCGGATTTCAAGTTCGCGCTATGTCATCAATAGAGTTATTTGTACGGAGTATTTTAATTGCACGGAATATTTCAATTACAGTATACAACAGTGTGTTCGTAGTAAGCGACATTAATTTAAAAACTTTCGGTATCACGAAATAAATTTGTGTGTACATTGGGTTACAACTTTTAAGGTGGGGCTGGGATTTGAATAGATGGATTATTGATAGGATTGGATAATTAAGCGAGGCACCGAGAAAGAAGGCAAGTAAGCTGCCTTACAGGGAAATTAAGTCTTTTGAAGACAATCGTTTGCCATCTTGACGCATAGATTTCGTATACTTGAATTTTTACCATACGAATCGTACGGTTGAGCAGTTTTGTGTTCCTATTCGCTCTTTAGAGTAGAACGTGCTTTAAAGGCCTGTAGAAGTGTAGCAACTAATAACATTTAAGACTTTCCTTTACTTGCTTGGCTATTTGAAAATTTTATCTCGACTTGGTGACACAATGCCTAGACAATTTTGTAGTGTTCGTGTTATATTATTGCTCTTTTTTGGACCAGAATAATCAGCTAAAATTTTCGGTCGGAATCGAATTCTCTCTTCTTTAGAAGAATGTTGGGGAAATTGGACAGGGTAGTGACATGGAGGTTACTTTTGCGGTGAAATGGAGTTTACTTTGCCTCAACTTTTATCTTCTCGTTTAAGTTTTTCTCTTTAGATGTGTAATACTTAGTAATTTACATACAGCAATTACATGCAGCAATCTGGCAGACGTTTACAACCGCAAATAGGTTTTGCTCAAAATGTCTTTTCAGTGTAGACAATGGTTTACTTGAAAAATAGTTAATGATGTCGACCAGGATTGACGATTACAAGATGATATGTTGATATACTGATTACAGGTTAGAAATCTCTACATCTCATGGGTCCATGGTTATATTTTACAGAAACCAATTTAGACGTTGAGTTTGACAATGAGATGCTATCCCCTTAGTTTTGATCGTTCATCATTCTCACTTCTGGAAACTACTTGTAAAAGCAGTCTTTCGGTCAGATCTTTGCAATAAGAAAATCACATTAGGACATTAGAAAGTTGATCCTATCGTTGAGGGCAAACTAAAATTGAACTGCATAAAAATCCAAAATAATTGCAAGGTTTGGCTTTAGTGAACTTCTTGAAATCTTAGCATTCGCGGTTTTCGCTTCTATCAAACCAAAATTATAGAGCACATGCTATTTTCTGCTATTGTTGTTATTTCCTCAACATGTAATTCAAGCAATTACAAAGTCAACCACTGTCTCTTTTAGCGTTAAAAAAAGGAATGAAATTAAATCGAATCAATCATACATGTACACACATACAACTCTGCAGGTGGTTCACCACGGCCGAACATTCGCTAAAATTGTTTTTCGTGTTATCAATAATTACTGAAAAATTTGCTTTACAGCATTTGGAATCGCGGAGCATATTTCAAAAAGTCACGAAAACGCAAGTTTTAATATGCAAATTCCATCTTAAAAGCAGAATTCACGCTACCCGAGGGATTTGACAACTCTTCGCGTACAGTTTCGCCCTGCTCTGTTTTCTTTGATCGCTGTTTACTTATTTCAGAAAAGAGATGCGTTCTTCATTCTGAAAGATTTTGTACTTTGTGATTTTTCAAACTGAAAGACGTAAACAGTACACTGAACCTGGTGACGTATTTAAAAATATTATGTTTATTTTCTGCCCATTCACATAAAAGTACAATTTACATATGTAACATTTATCTTTCTGCAGATTACTGGAGGAAGCAAGTAATAAAGATTGGGCCTAAGAGAGCATCAATTAGGAAAGGCAGGAGAAATTTGCTGTTCGTCAGGGGAAGGAAAGCTACTACAGTAATTACACCAAGAAAAAGCTCATCCTACACTATGGAGTAAAGTTTGCTTGATGAAAAGGCATTTTGAAGACTGGCGTCTCGTGTTCCTCAGGTGATTAAATATATTTGTTATGCAGTTTACTTCAGATTGCCAGAGAAGAAAAAAAAGACTGGAAAAAGTATTTTCAATCTCTCTTGGAAAACTTGATCTTTATCTCTGATAGCTTCGACGTTATTAGCGTTCTTCAGTTTACTTTCAATACAAGAAGACCATTGAAAGGAAGGAAGGCAAAAAATTTGGGGTCAACGTTTTTATGGCTCAAATTCTTGGTCTTAATTTCATTTCCCTGTTTTGCAGGTTTGTTCGACCACCCAAAACTGGATACCAAGGAACACGATCACCTTAAATATAAGACCAGAGACAAGTATCAATCTTGGAACGAAGGCAAAATTGGATCGACCCCAATTCAGAGAATAAAGCGAAAAATTGGGGTTTGATCCATCCGCCATCCCCCACCACACCCGCCTCCATTAGGCAGTACTTAAAAGTTATCAACCTTTGGTTTCCTGTCCACCATCTACCACCACACCCGCCGCTTGTCACTTGCCTTGTAATTCAAACATCTTTTAATACAGTTAATCAATATTTCAGTTAATTAATATTACAGTACAGTATTACATTACAATCTTTTAATACATATTACAATCCTTATCTTACAATGTTATGATATAGTAATATTTCTCCATCCAACCTCCCCCGCCGCACCCACCTCCCGCGTACAATTTTCCTAAGCCTTTTTTAAAGTAGTCTACCTTGTGGTAGTAAGATTTATTTTCAAACGCATGCGTTTTGTACAACCAAATTTCTATCTTAATACACATGCGTCTTACACGAGGTTATTACCACAAGGTAGCCAGGGGACAGCTTTTTAAATCGAAAACTAATGCCTTTGAGGTTTGGGTATTATGGAGGTGAATCAACTATCGATGTCGGCGTTCTTTCTGAGATTCACAAACTTTGTCTGGCTTCTTGAGAGGGTTATTCTTCATGAAATCTCTGAAAGCAAGAACAATGACTGAGTCACAATGTAACAATATGAAGCACAATATGTTCTTATTATGTACAAAAACAATTTTGTGGTATTGGACATTCGTCTCGTTCAACTGTGCCACACTGCACAACAACAAAAAAAAGAACAATGAATGTGTTTGCAATGAACAATAAAGTAAACTCACCTCAATAATTAAGCTTAACAAGCGTCTCCCATGACCTCTCTAAACTTGTAACCTTCGCGGTACCTGTAACTGAGGAAAAGAAAGCGCACAGCGTGGTGACTGAATTTCTTAAAGTTATCTTTCCGGCATCTAACAGCATCTAACAGACAAAAAACACCAAATGATGGCAAGTTAAGACCTCTAGTTCTAGTTGATTATTTTTTTACGCCTGAACGACACAAAAGAAGCTGATTGCAGGACCACCGCTAGAAATTAAACACTCGTTTATCTTTATCTCAGCAACAAAACAGAACAAAATATTTTAGCCTCACGTACATGTCTGGGAGAAAATGTGCAGGAGGAAGAACTGAATGAAACGATGTAATGATTCAATCAAAAGACTTCGAAAAACCTTCTCATGAAGGATTCTTTCAACAAGTTATGTTTGAACTGTAATCTCACTTACCACTCGCCTCTCGTTACATTCTTTCTATTACTTGAAAAACTTCTATTAAGCTTGTTACCTTCCCGGTACCTGAAAGACGAAAATTACGGGTAACTTTATAGTAAAACAATACTGAACGAAACTCTCCTTGGGTATTGTTGTCCTAATTAGTTTGTGGCTCTTCAAATCAGCATGTTTGGCGTCTATCTCGGTTTTTTCATTTAAATTCTGTAGTTTCGTACGAATCAAATGCCATTTTGTGCCGCTAATACACGATGCCTGACTTGTTCTACCAAACGTATCGAACAAATTACACAAGAAACATCACAACACATTTTCCATTTTGAAAGGGCCAAGACAAGAGGAATGAGATCATAATAAGTAGATTTCACTCCTTAACTTCTTTAAACGACCTTTATCTTCCTACAAGCAAACTTAAAATTCCCCGACTTTTCTCTAACTTGAAATTTCTTTTTCCGTGAACTTTCCCCGACCTGTCGCAGTAAATCAACTGGACTCCTTTGTAGATTTAAAAAAGAAAGGATCTTTCAAGAAAACGTTACTGCTTTAAAAATTAATTTTTGAGTTTTAGAAGAAATTTCGATTCTATGTAGAATACCTTGAAGACAGTTAGAAGGTCAAACGTGCTGAGAGAACCTGCAGTTTACGCTTCCGATGAGTTTTCTGGCGCGGATTTGTAAGTGATACTTTGCCCTCTAACTATTTTTTAATAGAGGATTGCCACTCACAGTCAAATCATCGTCGAGAGATAAGAAGTACAGTAAAAAAGCTTATCATATCTCTTGGTTAATATGTGCGCTATGATTGGTCAATTTCCCCCTCTAATTGAACCAAGAGATGTACAAAATATCCTACCAATCACGTTTTCTCAGTACGTCTCTAAGCTAGGGAACCTCTTTTTTCTGTTGGGATTTATGGCGCGCGGGAAATAAATCTGAACGGGTAAAACAATAGGTTCTTAACTTAAGGTACTGAACTCGAACTCGGTAAGTAAGTGTATTTATATTGTAAACGATGAGTCAATTCAAAATGAATCCTTGCAGCAAATGTTCATACAAGGTTGCAGTCTATTAATTGTGCTGCAAGGTTTCTTTTTTCCTAAGAAAAACTCTTTCATTTATCTGACAAAAGTCTTTTTCACATCTCGTATTAATTAGATTTGTGTTTGAATAACAATTCTCACATTGTAATCATGTTCATTGGTAAGGGCTGTATTATTTTGCGTCGATGGTTCATTTTTCTTTTTTCTCTCTCTCTTTCTCTTTATTCTGAGCTTTAACTCTTCTGTCAGCCAGGTGGGTAAAATCAGCCTACATTCTTCTAAGAAAGTGACCTCAAGTTATCTTCCATTATGGCGAAATATTTTGTGCATGCCCATTTCTCTAACATTTTGAATTTCATTAGTCGGCTGTAGGTAAGGTGTTTTGCTCTGCTGTATGCTAGTTGCGGATTGACGCATCGATTGTGAGCTTTTGTTGTGGAGCTACGCGTGAGCCGTAAACTTAACTCGCAACGCAAGCACAGCACTTTAGGAAAATGCAATTTTTTTTACATTCCACCCTAACTAGAAAATAAATTCTAATTGATCTAATTGAACCCGGACTGTAAGAAGCCCAGCTCTGCGACTTTACATACTTAAAATGATGCTTCTATGTTATGTGCTTCTGCCTCACTTGATAACGTGCAGCTTCTTAATGATAACAAACCACTTGCCTTGGACACCTCATGGAGGCGACACAATCTACTGAAGTCCAAGATGTAAATATATGTTAAACTTCCCACTCTTGCTTGATTTCTGTGTCAAATAAAAAATAAAAAAATCATCTAAATTTTTTTCCTTCTTTTTATTTTCAAGTTTTAATGCAAGAAATAATATCGGAAATGATTTATCTCTTAAGTATCTTTTCTTAGATTTTTTTGAGCGATACCGATTCCAGCTTAGTGGGTCAACCCTAAATCACCCCGGCTCCGGTACAAAGTCAAACACCCGATCAGTGCATAAAAATAGTCCAGTGTCAGAAACAGTTTTATCCCTTGATCCCTTTTTAGGAACCAAGTCTTTACATCACAGATCAAGACTAAGGAAGGGATTTTTTGGGCGACATCACCCCTTAAAGGGCCAGCTTTAAGTCTCCCATCTTTTGTACAAATTGAAACACCCGATCAGTGCA